TTCGAAATAAGTAATCCTCGTGTGAAGCATAAAAACCCGCTTGCCATTTACCCCTAGCCGATCACGAACGGGGAAACATTCAGATTGCAACTGGGTAGAAAACGCAACAGTAGGAACATTTCCGTTGCATGCTGCTAACCATTCATCAAAAGCTCTCAAAAAGATATAACCCCTCGAAAAGACGTCAGGACGTTGGCAGGTCAACAACCGCGCTCCAATGACGTTTTTCCAATGAAAGCGGTCGCAACGTTGCGATCGATAATAGCCAAGTATAGAACGATATACTGCCGCCTGGTTATCCATTTTTTCATTTGGCTCCGCATTTTTTTGTATTTTTCATGTTTCGCTTTGTTGTGTCGTGCATGTTTTCATTATTTCCCCGTCACCATTCATTGAATGCACATCTGGGCCCTGACACGCTCACCTTGGGGCTATTTTTTCACCAATTTAGCTTATCAATGATCACCATTAGTCGCTATTTCAATTGGTGTCTTGTTACAACTGCATGTCATACATAGTTATCGAACGAGGAGTTTTATTTTGAATCCTAAGACAAAATTGTAGGTAATGCGAGGCTGTTGTTCAGCCTCATATTGCATGAGGCTGAAACAGCCTATTTTGCCTGGATTTTAGGCAGAGTCCACCCCTTTCAGATTCCATTTCAGCGAGGCCATTCGTCTCGGTGAACATGATATGCGTTGTCAGTTAAAACAGGATGGGGGGGGGGGGGGTGGTAACTACGACCGCTCTTTCCGAGGGGGGGGGTCGTACTCACACCGCCATTTCGCACATCCCCATGCTGTACCCTGATCCGGGGTCGTATTCCAGTAGTCATGTGTACCCGATACGCCTATTCAATTATCATGCTCACTGTCTCAAAAGGCAGATGGCACGGCAAATCTTCAAGACGCTGCTGGAGATTAATGTGCCTTGCAGGACGGAATTTCACGACCCTGAGCAGCGCGGCGTGGCGCCTTTCCCACGGAAGGCACCCTTATAGCGCCCTATCAGGCTGCAACATACCGACCTGACGTATACTAGAAATTCCTCCCAATTTCGTGCCATGTTCAAGTGCCACGCCTACTCTGCCTCAGGGATAAGGAGTATACACCACGCCCGTCTACAAATGTCTGACTGGCTCGCTATCGCTTCATTTATGAAGCTACAATATAAGGCGAAGGTATTGCCATGAAGCGGCCGCGGTGCTGCATGGATAGATCAGTACATACACTCCTTATTCCTGATACAAATAGGCACGGCCTTCAAACATGGCATAGAGCGGGTTACTCATGGGATATTTCATTTTCAGTCAACTGTTTCTTTGTTGGACAAAGACATGACTATATTGTCCCACAAATATCCCACGGACCACTTTCAGTCAAGTACGCAGTCACGTCTACCACATCTCACGGATTCTGAGTGTACATGCTCCCCCACCTACCGTAGCGGTGATTGGCGGGATATTACCGTAAAGGCTAACTCGTCCCGATATAGCTTTCTTGAGTCGTACAAAAGTTTTTTTCTGCAGGTTTTTGACCGTTTCAGTTCGCTTTTTCGCCATTTTCTCACTATTTAGCATCCTGCTACCATGAGACAGAGTAGCAAATTATCGTGCCAACTGCCTCTAAAGATAAATTGTAAGCAGAGCTCTGAAGACGATCTTTGCCATCAATGCGAGAAGAATGTGTAGGGTCTGTTCCAGTATGACACTTTCGTTACCATGAAGCTGAAAGGTAGTGCTACCCGGGTGCCATCTCTGGACTCCGCCCCTGAAGATGCTGCACTTGTGTCGACACCAGAATTCCACGGGCAACACGTGATCAGAGCAAGAGAACAGCCATGAGTAAGAAGGCGCTCACAAGTAGCGCGTTTGGTTATGGCTAGGCTTCTGACCGGCCGTGCGGCAGCTCGGGCACACTCCAAAGACGGTGTCATCACCCTCCAGCCCGTTCCCGTGCACTTTTGAGCGGAGAAAAAGGATCAGTGTGAGTGCGTGGTCCTTAAATGTGGTGCCTAAATAGGTATCAGCCACTTCTTCAGCAAGAGGTTGTCAAGAAATATGACGGGTTCATGGAGAAAGCTCCCATCTTTTCCGATCCCTAGGTGAAAGAGCACTCTACTGGAGCCCTGTCGCAGTAACGGGTTTTATTCCGGACTTACATTATTTCTTTATTTTTTTCCTTTCTTCGCACATATTCCCTGAATACCTTTTCCTTTCTTTATTCATATTCCCTGAACACGAATGAGTGAACGCAATGCGGCCAGCGTTCGCTCATCAGAGACCGATTTAATGTGATATCGCGTGTAAGCATACTGAATGAGTTGACTCGCCGTCATAACATCTTACTCCATCATCCTAACCTGGCGTGTGCTAAAATGGTGAGCAATTTTCTTTTCCTTATCAAAAAAATGTGCCAAAACATTCCGCTTCATTTTCATCGATTTATGATGTCCTGCAGCAAATTAAAGCACCAAGTTTCCGGAATAAATTCCTTCAAAAGGTATTTTATTGTCAAAGTTATGTGTTGAATGAAGAGTGCAAATCCAACTACCTATTTATTTACCCATCCACGCCATTTCCCTGGGACATTCCACGATTCGTTAAGTGTGGAGTGAAATGAAACTCCAGACACATGACTCATTGTGTCATAAACCTCAGAAATGGAAACAGGGGTGGCGAACTGCTTGCTCAGGTAGGAAAACTAGGGGACAGCTAAAACCCTCGAGACAGAGCTTTCACTTTCGCAGGCTATTTTGAGGAAAAGCTCGAGAGTAATAAGCCGTCAGGTTGATGATTCGACTGGACGCCTTCTCTCTTGTTGGTAAGGCAGCGATAGCGAGCGCTTCCAGCGTTTCACTAGCGTTTCGCTAGCGTTTGCCAGCGGCGGGCTAGAGAGTATAGAAGAGTAGGAGAGTATTTTGTACTCTCCTACTCTTCTATACTCTCTAGCCCGCCGCTGCAAGTCGCTAGCGCAAACGCTAGCGAAACGCTAGTGAAACGCTCGTGAAACGCTGGGAGCGCTAGATCGATAGCTATGCTTCCCGTGCCCTCGCTAGCTGCGCTAGCGTACGCTAGCGTACGCTGGTGACGCTGGGAACGCTAGATCGATATCTATCCTTTCCCCGACACTGCCGCTGGCGTACGCTGGAAGCGCTACGCTACGCTGCCGCAAAGTATAAACGCAGCCTAACTCGCCAGAATGAGTGATACGCTTTGTTTCCTCTTTTACCTAACACTGATGGGATCTTTACTATCCCCTATCTGGCTGGGCTCACAATTAGTTCAGGATATCCGAGGCGCGGCATCGAAACTAGGACTTCTAGCCAGTTGATTCATAGCACTTCGCCGTGAGATCAAGCATTGACCGTCGATCAACCACTTTTTTGGGACTGATCAATGCGCAACGGTTTTCTGGATGCGCTGCGCATTTTACTTCCACCTGGAATTGCAGTCGCATTTTGAGCGCGATATGGACTATACACTTGAGGGGGATGCTGATGTACAAGGAGTGATCTTCACCTCCCAGACGAATCTGCAGTCCTCATCATTACGGACTGTCGGGGCGGCACAGCCGCGCTGCAATGTGACGCGACAGCGGCTGCGGCTCGGTGACGGCGAATCAGCTGATTTCCATGGAATTCGGCTGCGAATTCCCACTTTTTCAACTCTTCAAGCTTCGAAAGTGGAAGGTGAGTTATTTCTGAACAATTTTAAATTGTACTGACTCTGAATCTGAAAGAATGTAAGCCATTTGAATAAATGCCTGAAATAAGGCAAAATACAAGGAAAAGAGCATAACAATCGACGCTGAAATGTGGGAATTCGCAGCCGAATTCCATCGAAATCAGCTGATTCGCGCCGCAGCCGCTGTCGCGTCACAGTGCAGCGCGGCTCAGCCGCCCCGACAGTCCGCAATGATGAGGACTGTAGTTCCAAATTACCATCCCCGATGCGAAGAAGGCTCGGTTGGCGTGGGCGGGAGCCAGTTCGGGATTCGGGTTTTGACCCCATACGGCGTGCGTGCCAAGCAGGCCACTACTCGTCTACGGTCAGCTTGAACTCAATCCCTTCAGTCGCGTCAGCAGTTCTCACGCACTCTTCCTCTGCACTGCGTGACACTCGATAATCACTGTGACCTTATACATTGCAACTTTTCCACGAAAAAGTGGCTTATCCACCTCTTAGTTCCCTCCCGTTGTAAAGATCCATCCCTAATTCGTCACATGTTTTTCACACCTTTCAATGTCTTGGCAAGCACAGCCCTGCTCTCTGTGCTACGGGATTCCACAGCAGGACCATGCAGAAAAATTCAAGCTGTCACGTAACCAAAGCCACTACTCCACCTACGCCTCCACGTCTTATATAGGGTCGTAAAACGAACGGTACATCGCGCAGGCCGCTATGACCTAATTGACTTGACGCTAAACTTCGCTGCGGACGGTTGGGCGTGTCAGGCAGTATGAGTGTGTCACCCCGTCAAGCCGTTCTCTGCCTTCTTGTTGAAGCGCGCATGCGACAAAAAGTGGTAGAAAACGAGTAATACGAACGATATGATACAGTCATATCATTTGCTCGCTTCAACAACTGGTGGACACGCGCCGAATTCATCGACACGCCCAACCGTCCGCAGCGAACTGCACTACAGGAATGGAAGCGGTTACTCGCTTCGGATATCCTCAATTACACCTGTCTGCGAGCCTCTCTCGCTATTTGTAGAGAGGTGGATATCGACGCAAATATGTGGACAAATTTACGTCATAAGCCCCGACAGCCTTGTCACGCACATCCAAATCGTGAATGTGGTATGCACATCCCAGTGGAGGAGCTGTCCTACGCAAAAGGGTCCAGTGTGGAATGCGCCTTTGGGAGAAGTGGAGTCGGGGGGGATGGACTTGGAATGACCAGCATTGCCATAGCTATAAAACTTTTCCTCGTTTAATGAGAAACAATTTCAATCCGTATTTAGTTTGGTTTTATTCACGAGAGTATACGACAGCTAATGCTTCGTAAATATGGCGAGGAACTGTGGCAGGAAGTACTGTGAGTTCGGATTTTTGGAAAATTTATTAGTGCTTTAGAACTTCATATCAAGAACAAGCTGATGCCTCTCATGCCGATTTCTTTTCGTCTGGGTTTTGTTCATCTCTAGGAAAGTCCTGTCGGCAGGCTTTGAGAAGACCGCGAGGGTTTCACGGGGCATTGCACAAACAATATTCCAGCCCAGGGCACATCATTCGTTGGAGATTTTGTTCGAGTCCGTACGACCCCCCCCCTTTTTTCAGAAGGTTGGTAGGACCCCCTCCCCCTCTCCGGCCCTTTGTCCCTCCTCATCTCTTCGAAACGAGCCGTCGAGCGCGGAGCGGGCCGGAGGAGGGGGGCGGGGGCGATGCGCCCTGTTCCAGCCTCTCTTTGGAGTCTCTCGCTAATTGAGTGATGGTCACCGCAAGAGCAGAAACAAGCTTTCACCATATACGAAAAATGAAGCAAAAGGGTCACTCATTCGGATCCTACAAAGACTCTCTGTACACTCACCTCTGACCATGAGGAAGACACTCTCCGTGTGGGAGGCAGTTAATCCGCAGCTATAGTAGGTGCTACTTTCTCTGGTCAAAAGTGCATAGGAACGGGGCTGAAGGGAAGTGATATCCGGCGCCTTCGTCATGCTCCGTCCGCCCTACCCTCATGGTGCAGCACTTGCTTCAATACCTTTGTTTTGACAGTCCTTTCGTCAGAGAAATTTACTTTTTACTTCAGGAACCGGTCCGGTTTCGAAAGCGGCAAAGAGAACATCATTAATCATTACTATTCGGATGTCGACACATATCTCCTAGTGGATAGTGTAGCAGTGCTCACAAGTTGGTTTGCATTTCATAAACCTTGGCCAGCTGAGTGCTCAGCCAGCAAAGGACCATTTATTTTCAGAAATGTCACGTGAGCAAGTGTGGGAGTTGTATGGATCATTTCTCATAGAGTACACTATGGAAATCGGATGGGATGAACTCATCCGAAATATGAGTCCAGACCTGAAGGTACAATAATCGCAGGAAAAATTAGAAACTATCCTTTTTCAGTGTTTCACAGTGCTTTCCTTTCTTTCAGCGATGAATATTTTCCGAGCAAATATCGCGATCTGACTAAGCGGGCCTGCACAGGCAGTTGTTGGAACTGTCGTACTCTTAAGGGTAGGGACGGAGCGCGCTCCAGCGCATCTAGGCTCCATCCCCTCCCCCCTCTCCTAGGTTTATTGATGGACTTGGCAGAGCGCAGACGAACGGGGTCGTCACTGGCTAGGTTCCACAATAAGGGCTTGTCTCCCGCTGTTTTAAAACACAAAGCGTTGGAGGGATAGGGTCGTGCCGTAGGGCGAATTTCTCCCTGATTGTTGACTTTTCCCGTTCCCGGTGTGGTGTATACAGAGGGGCCGAAAAAGTCACTTTTCTTCCTTGACTTTCGAGGAGCTATAAGTTACACTTTATAAAATTCTGATCGGACATTTCTACCACCATATCAAAGAGCATATTGAATACTATCACCATCGAGAGATTCTGGCACGCGACCGCGATGTGGTGCCTGAGATCAGCGAGATAGTCGATTTCTCCGCCACCGTAGACCACCCTATTGAACTCCGCCCGAACCGGGTAATTGAGGGGATTCAGGTCAGGTGACCTGCTTAGATATTCCATCTTCTTCAGGTACTCAACGCCCTTCGATTCCATGTGGTGTCACCCAATCCTGTAGCAGTACAAAGTTTCCAAGAAGGTACGGGCGACGACATGTGGAGAGGATATTCTTCTCGAGTTGCTCGATGTAACCGCCAGCGCTCACCTTCAGTCCGGGGTCCACGAAGAAAATATCGGTCTTCCATTCCAGGAACTTCCGGTCCATACCATCAACCCGCGCCTTGGCGACTGCGGTGAAGATGATATCCTGGACCGTAGCGACGTTGTCGGAGCTGCTCGATGTTGGAGGTCTTCCAGATCGAGAGTACTGGTCTCCAGGTAGCTATCCATGGGTGACTCCATACTAGAAGTTTCGCAGCTGTTTGGAGGTGACATGAATTCCAAAGGTCTTCTCCAGTCAGGCTGCGACTGGAGATGACTTCATATTTTGGTGTACATGAAGGTGATGGGCGAGAGCCAGCTCCTGCTTATCGAGGAACATCTTGGGTATCTTCCGCCCTGGTACTCGTATCCACGTCCTCTGTCTGGGCTGCGAAAACTTTGCTGATATGTGACTCGGTCAAAGTGTCTTTTTTTGCCCCCCCCCCCCCCCTGTATACCCCATCCCCTAAATGACGGCGCCGCAATGCAAAATTTGTGATACTTGAGCGCAGGCATCTATCATCCCCCCACAGCAGCAAATTTTTGAGGGAAAGTTGTTAAGAGCGAACGTTAGGTTGAAATAGGGTCGTAGCGAAAAAGAACATTTGGAAAAGGTTCCATTTGGCAGACATCTTCCACAACAACATGATGTGCTTTGTTAACAAGGAGACGACCATGAGCTACCCCTCTTGTCCCCACACCGCCACCTTACCTCCCACATTCGAACTACGTTAGGCTGTTACTGTCCAGATTCTATTTGACGCTATCTGGGGTTACGGTAGCCCGCCACCAAAAATAAATCAGAGTCTCGCTGACTAACGACTCTGGACCACGCTCACCGGTGTTGCGAACTATGCACGATACCTTAGGCTGCGTTTATACTTTGCGGCAGCGTAGCGCTTCCAGCGTACGCCAGCGGCAGTGTCGGGGAAAGGATAGATATCGATCTAGCGTTCCCAGCGTCACGCACGCTAGCGTAGCGAGGGCACGGGAAGCATAGCTATCGATCTAGCGCTCCCAGCGTTTCACGAGCGTTTCACTAGCGTTTCGCTAGCGTTTGCAGCGGCGGGGCTAGAGAGTATAGAAGAGTAGGAGAGTACAAAATACTCTCCTACTCTTCGATACTCTCTAGCGTAGGAGAGCATTTTGTACTCTCCTACTCTTCTATACTCTCTAGCGTAGGAGAGTATTTTGTACTCTCCTACTCTTCTATACTCTCTAGCCCCGCCGCTGCAAACGCTAGCGAAACGCTAGTGAAACGCTGGAAGCGCTACGCTACGCTGCCGCAAAGTATAAACGCAGCCTTATTGAACATTTTCAGGAACCTCTGCTCACATTTAAAGTCGTTTTCGCTGCAGGGTGTGCCAGAACGTATGGCGCGATGCCACCCTGTTTTCCACATCAATTTTCCAATTTCCGACGCTTGCCCACTTCAACAGTATAGAACGAGCTGGTGCTGCGCTAAACCTAGCTCTCTGACACACCCGTCATCTGCTGCGAAAACAACTGTATTTATTGGTTCCAAGGGAACCGATTGCCTTTGCATGTTGTACCAGACACAAGGCTAATTCTCCTTTGTAGTCCTCATCCGTCACCTCTGTTTTCAGGGTTTTCTCGACAATCTAGATTCACTGCACTATTTTATCGATCATGTAGTC